TCCACCTGTGTGGAAGAAAGAAAAAAAACACACACACACACACACACACAGACACACGCACACACACACACACACATGTCTGGTTTGCTATCCTTGTGGGGACTCTCCATAGGCGTAATGATTTTTCTACCGACCGTATATTCTATTGTCCTACACCAACCCTACCCCTAAACCTACCCCTCACAGGAAACTTTCTGCATTTTTAGATTTTCAAAAAACTTCATTCTGTGTGATTTATTAGCTTGTTTGCCCGTGGGGACCTCAATTTAGGTCCCCACCGTGACACGAGTCCCCATGAGTCTGTGTGTATTCAGGTTTAAGTCCCCACCAGAATAGAAAAACAGGTACACACACACACACACACACACTGCAGTACCTTAGGTCTCTTCCACTGCACTCCTCTGGTCTTGGAGGAGTACCGTCCGAGTTCATTGTATCCCAGAGAGTCGGATTCAGCAGGGAAGGTCGGGTCACAGAACAGGGTTCCTTTCGCCAGACACTCCTGCTTCAGGCTCTGGTAGTCCTGCTTGTTGAAAGGAATCGCCTTCTCATTTGTTCCCACTCCTTCTCCTCTGTCCTGCCTCCTAGAAAGAACTTTTGCAATATTAGACATGCTGCCCTGTAGTCGTGCTCAAGTTTCTCTGAAGCTTGTGTAGTGTGTGTTTGTGTGAGACTGATGCTGGTTTTAAAGTGAGAGCTGCTGTATGGTAAAGCAGTGAGGGGTGGAGTCACACCCACCTGTCAGCGCACAGGGACAGGTGTTGCTTTTACATTGGTTTAACATCAAATAACTCTGTGATGCAAAATGAATACACAATACACTAAAGCATATTGTAGGCCTATATACACAGCAATAGCAAAACATGATGAAAGTACGTTTTGATCTACACTGCATGGCCAGACATTCTCAAACACCACACCCATGTGTGCTGGTTTAACAAACAAATTCAAAACCACAGACATTAACATGGCACAGTCCTTCCTAACAGCTTCTGCTTACAGTTCATCCTAAAGGTGGGATTCAGGTCTGGGCTTCATGGAGGTCTGTCAAGTCTGTCGAGGAGCAGGAAACGGCTCTCCTTAAACAATTGTCACAGTCTTTAAAATGACACTGTATACCGTAGCATTAAGATTTGGCCTCAATTTGGGATTAAGGAACCTAGCAAAGTCATTAATTAGAAAGTGGTGTGCATATAGGCTACATGGGCATGTAGTGTATGCTTTATTCAAACTCAAAACCACCGTTTTTAACAAATTTCACATGCTTAAATTGCATCATCAAATGTAATAATAATCATAATTGCGAGCTGGAATTTCTGTTATGTTTTGTACATTGTAACAATTTTTTTCTTTCTATTGTGTTTTTTTTGTTTGTACAGTGTTAACTTTTTTTCATAGCGGAAACATTAACTTAACAATTTCCATTTCCTTATTGGGACGTTGGCTCCAACAAAAAAAAAGGAAATACAAATTTTATTTCCATGGTCTATCGAGTAGTTCCATAGAGACGAACAAACAAAAAGCGTATTTCGTTGCTCAAGTGATGAAACAAATGCTTAAATGACATGTAATTTTATTAATATTGATCAAAACGCATGAAAGGTGCTGCTACATCTAACCGATTAGAAATCCACGGTTTTGTTGAACCCCCCTATATATCCATCAGATGGCGATGTAGTACAGTTAATCCCGTATTGAGCTTCATCTGCACCGTTAAGAGAAAATGTCATTGTCAGAATGAACGTGGCTGCACGAATGGTCATATGTGCACAATTAGCTGATTTACTTTACCTTTATGAATTTTTAATGTGATTGATGTCGCTGTTTTGCCGCAGCGCCATATTGCCAACCATTCGTAAGTTCTGTGTGATAAAAGTAGGCTTATGTAATAAATAATATTCTTTGAAACCTAAATAGTGGTTTAAATGCCTGTTTATTGTGTAGTATAATACTAAATACGGCACCAGTGTGTTCTGTCAACATTAGCCTATTAACGTTCCGTCGTTATAGTTCTAAAGTGACATTCTCGAATTAACGGCAGCTTGAACTCAGCTGTTAAACTGCAAACTGAGGAAGTATTTCTGCACAAGAGGGTTTTTAAAGACACTCAGTTGTTGTTTCTTATGTATTTACACACACGTGCCTTCAACTGTTGTATAAATGCAATATCACACTCGTAGCCATGCGATATGGCTGTATATCGGCACAGAGCCGTGCTGATATCGCACTGCTACTCACACACACACACACACATATATATGTGTGTGTGTGTGTGTGTATGTATGCATGTATGTAAGTTTTGTAATGATTTGTCATGGTCAGACCACTATACGTTCTAGGTAAAAGATTAAAAACATTCATCCACCTGCACGAAACAAATGTTGAGATTCTTTGTTAATCCTCCTGGTTTGACTAAAACTGAAGATCCTGTTCATTTCACACACTGAATCACAGATCTCTGTATTTAAGCCACCAATATAATTTGTAAGCAACAACAAATAGGCTGTAACTACAAAAATGTTGGTTTTAAAGTGGCATAAGTGCATTTACACCTGAATGTTTTATTTTTGGTGTGAACTGACTGAAAAAAGGAGTAAAACTGGATTCCACTGAATTGATTTGTTTCTTGGATGTATAATGATGGTGTTAATTTATGTGTTACTTTACTCACTATTTGGTAAACAAATGCTATAGCATAATGCACATTACTTGGAACTCTGGTGAAGCCAATTATTAATTCTACAAAGCTTGAACAATTAATTAAGTTCATTGTGAACATGACAAGCAAACACACACAATGTAATTCCTTGAATAAGGGTTGGATGATTTTAACCTAGTGCTCATTCTCCAGTGTGGTTATTATTAACTCAAACTGAATAAAATTATCCACTCTTCAAATGTCTAAACAACGTGATGTCCATGATAATTGCCAAATGCAGATTGTTGTCACAAATCTGTTTTTTTGCTTTTTCATTATGGTGTATGGATTTTAACACCATAACATAACAACAAACAAAATTTGAAAAAAATAAAATAAAAATGAAGGGGTAAGAATACTTAAATCTTTTGAACAAACTAAAAACAAAAAAGCACTTAAACATAGCATTTTAAAAGAACTGAATTGTTTATATATTATTTTTCCTGGCAGTTAATGTTAATAATGTGACTAATAGGCCTCTTGTTCCTGTTGAACAGAACAAAAAGCTTTAGGCTCTATAAGACTAATTATGACACAGAACTAAAAGTTTTAAAAATTAACTTTCCAAATGCTACTGTGATGGCATTATGAAATCATATGCTAATGCTTATATGTTCATATCTACAATGCTACATAGAAATTACCAAATGCACAATGTGTTATAAATGATCCTGTTACTCTTTTACTGAGAAACTGCTCCAGACGATTCAGAGCCTGAGTAGACTGTTCAAATGATTTAGGCGGCATCCGAAATCGCATACTTCCCTACTATAGTAGATGAAAAACATTTTGTGACGAGAGCTGTTTTAGTAGTCAATTAAACTGTTTAAAGGCACTAATGAGAAGAAAGTACCATTGTACTACTATACTGTCATGCCTGTTTTTGGTTTTGTTTCATGCCCATGTTTTCCTTTTCTTCTTCTTTAGACGTTTTATGGTGCCATGTTTGCTTGTTTTATGTTGAAGTTTAGTCATGGTTATGTTTTCTGTTCATGTTGTGTGGTTCCCTTGCTCCTCATTATGAATGTGTCATGTGCTTTCCCTGTTTATGTGTTATGTTCTCATTGGTTGTTTTGGTCATGTGGTTCTCTGTTCTGTATTCTCATTGGTAGTCTTGATTGTTCACATGTGTTTCTTGTTAGTCATAAGTCTCTGTGTATAAATAGCCTTTATGTTCCCATTGTCTTTGTCTATATATGTACTGTAGGTTGGTACAAGAATATGTAAATAAGAACTATTATGGATATTTAGAAATTCAGGAAATAGACATAATGTTGTGGGCATTGCTATCCCAGAATTCAAAGTAAACATTAGTAAAAGAATGTCCAATAATGTAGCTATACACAGCAGAGCTAGATGTAATATCTCTGGGTTTACAATGGGTGCAGGAAGTCAAACCAGACAAAGTTGTATTTTATTCAGATTCAGCAGCGTTACAGAGTATTAATAAACAACTAAAGATGACATTCTAATAAACCCAGTTATACATTCCAATAGATCAAAATGGCTCTCAATCCTTTGATGGACTTGTTCAGTGCTTAGGTGAGATTAGAGCCTGGTTGGCAAGCAATTTTCTTCATCTTAAAAAACACAACACAAATGTATGTTTGCTCTCTTGAAGCAAAACACACAGAGTTTGCATTTGAGGATCCTTACAGTTAGGACACACGAGAGTTAATAAAACATTATTTCTTATGAATAAAGTGAATATTGATAAATGTGAGGTTCGTAAATGCAAAGAAAATGTAGAGCATGCTCTACACATCTGTAGGAAATATAAGGAAGAAAGGAAAAAACTTAAAGAATGCATCATCAAATTAGGAAGGAAATAGGATATTAAAGATATTTTAGGAGTAAATAATTCTCAGATGGAAGTTGTTAAGGCATTAATGATTTTTTTCTGGTCTTATTAGAAGAATATAAGTTGAGATTAATGAAGCCATGAATTTACACACTCCAATATAGTGAGTGGTGGTTATGATTCAATGTTAATTCATTATTTTTACGGTAGAAACAATGTACTATGCTATTACTATGGTAACTATTTGTAAAAGGGACATAAAATAATCAAAATTTGCAAATATGAAAAATGTGATTTAGTCGTCTTTATTATAGCAAATTTTTCAGCAGTTGAGCACCATAAACAAATTACATTTTGTGAGCAATTCCAAGTTTAGATAATACCCATCTTTGGTTGATTTTACTCCGATGTTACTCTTGGGTATTCCAGGTCTGCTGCATCCTCTTCAGTTCAATTGCAGGAAATGAACTGATTTCTGATGCAGTTATGGTGAGTGGATTTTCAATTGAGCGCCAAGCAGAGCCACTGCAAAACACAAAACAACACATCTGTAAATGATAGCACTACATTGAGAGGATACAACGATTTTAATCCACGTTCACACTTGTGCATCACCTGCAGGATATCCAGCTCGATTTTCCCACTGTTCTTCTTATCCAGCATTTTAAACATGTCTGTGTAGAGCACAGATGAAAACGTTACAGTAAACCATTGTCATAATTCCTGTTTATAGTTTATTCATGGTAATTAAAAAAATTTAACTGGATAATCTTCAGCAAAACTTACTGAAGAGCATTTCCAGGTGAATCAGGCAGCCAACGAAGCAATCAAAGTCAATGGCGTACTGCTGATTGGCATAATGTGAGATTATCACCTGAAGTACGTCATTGTTCAGCTGGAATCCTGTGAAGAAAAGCAAATACATCCATTAATGAACTCTTTATTAAGACCACTTTTAGAAGAAATTAATGACTATATTGTCCTCAATGTTTAGATATTTAACCATCGACTCATTACCTGCTTCTTTCACGGCATCTCTCATCTCATGGGAACTCATAGTGCCTGAGTTGTCTGCATCATGTTTCTTAAAAACCTCCTGGTGAGGTATGACAGAACATCCACATTAAGTAATTAACATCACTAAATACAATGAAGAATTTATCTGAACTTTAGTGCCCACAAAGATGTTTCTCTGTGGTAGGGATGCACAGTAGATCTGTACCATATCGGTTATCGGCTGATATTACACATTTTTCATCTTTAATTTACACCAAAATATATGTTATACCAAATATTTCTGGATCTTTATCCACAGTATGTGAAACTCCACAAGGCCAAGTTTGCCGCTGCCGTCTCTCTGGACTGAGGTCAAGGGTTATAACAGGGTTATGATCATTAATTTGGTTGCTGTGCTTGTACAATGAAAGGACTCTGTTGAGAATATTAATACACAATTTATTATATTATATTATATTATAAAAATATATTTATATATTTTGTATATTTATATATATTTGTTTATATAAGATACAAAAAATATATATATATAGTAATCCAACATCAGAGAACTGTGAACATGCGAACGTATTATTAAATTAGTGAAATATTAACTCTCAGGGGACTTCAAGTAAGTGTTTAAGGTCAAATGGGTCCTGCTGACAAAAAAGTTTGTGAATCTCTGCATTAATCCATATAGATTCCATTCATATGATCCAGTGAGGTAAGGATACATCTAGCAGACTGATAATGTGGCGACAGGTTTCCATACTAAATCCATCCGTCTTCACATCAGTTCCTGTGTGAAAAAAAAAACCTTGTGAGAATGATAAACACAGAATTTCAATTTCAAGGCACTTTCTTTTCTTTATGTATGTGTATATACAGTACATACATAACATATGTATGTATATTTGTGTGTGTGTGTGTGTGTGTGTGTGTGTGAGTGTGTGTGTGCACAATTTATTATATTATATTATATTATAAAAATATATTTATATATTTTGTATATTTATATATATTTGTTTATATAAGATACAAAAAATATATATATATAGTAATCCAACATCAGAGAACTGTGAACATGCGAACGTATTATTAAATTAGTGAAATATTAACTCTCAGGGGACTTCAAGTAAGTGTTTAAGGTCAAATGGGTCCTGCTGACAAAAAAGTTTGTGAATCTCTGCATTAATCCATATAGATTCCATTCATATGATCCAGTGAGGTAAGGATACATCTAGCAGACTGATAATGTGGCGACAGGTTTCCATACTAAATCCATCCGTCTTCACATCAGTTCCTGTGTGAAAAAAAAAACCTTGTGAGAATGATAAACACAGAATTTCAATTTCAAGGCACTTTCTTTTCTTTATGTATGTGTATATACAGTACATACATAACATATGTATGTATATTTGTGTGTGTGTGTGTGTGTGTGTGTGTGTGAGTGTGTGTGTGTGAAGGTGTTGTTCCCTGCAATGGACTGCTGACGCAGCAGTATGTCAGGACCGAGATGAACGTTATTGCGTCCCCTGAACTGCAACACAAACACAGATGGATGAAATGGCATCTGAAAACTTGCAAAGGTTGTTTAATAAATGCATCGTATAAATGTACCGTACGGAGGCCCCAAGGGGACATGAGGATGGAAAACATTTGCATTCCCCAGAGAAACTTTGCACCAAGGTTTTGCAATAATTTTTCTTCAAACTATTTAAAAAAATGCGCACATCTGACGGGAAACAAAAACCTCAATGAGGGTTGCTCAACTATTGTAATAAAGAAAAAGAAATAAAAGTTGGCACACCACAGCTCCAAAAATGCAAAAATGTTTGTTTCATGTTCTCACCCCAGGTGACGTTTTGAGCCGTATGGCTCTTCATCAGACAATGAACATACTGATGAGCCCTTAAAGGATTAGTTCACTTCCAGAATAAAAATTTCCTGATAATTTACTCACCCTCATGTCATCCAAGATATTCATGTCTTTCTGTCTTCAGTCGCAAAGAAATTAAATTTTTTCGAGGAAAACATTCCAGGATTCTTCTCCATATAATGGACTTCAATGGTGGCCAACATTTTTATTTTTTTTTAGAAAATGACCAATCGTTTCACCATATAAGACCCCTATTCGTCAGCTGGGATCATGTAGAGCCCTTTGAAGCTGCACTGAAACTGCAGTTTGGACCTTCAGCCCATTGGCCAGGAAATCACATGACACACGCACACACAAACAACAACTCAACACTCAGGCAACACAATACATAACTTAAAAGTGAAAACATAAAATACCAATGAACAAATCACAACAATCTAACAAACACCTGACTAGAAAAAATCAAACGTGAACATGCAAATACAATCAGTATCATTAATGCAGAAATGCATGAATATCAAACTCTTCATTAAGACCATTCATTAGGTGAGTATAAATCCAAAAGTATATATATATATATATATATATATAGGTATAAGTATAAATCCAATATAGGCTTCATGTTTTAAAAGCAAATTATTGATGTCACCCCCTCTACGGGGTACTTTGACAGCTTCAATGCCAATATATTGTAGTGTGGAAACCGAATGTTTAAATCTAACAAAATGTTGTGCTACTGGACTTCTAGGGTCATGCAGCCTAATGGCACTTCGATGTTCAGCAATCTGCATTTTGAGTTGTCTGCTAGTTTTACCCACGTAACAGAGTCCACACGGGCAGCATGTACTCATAAAATGTGTTGGCTGCTAAGAAACAGATAAATCAGCCCTGACCAGCATATTACATAAGTTTGGGGGTCTTCTAAAGCCTTAAAGACCAAACAGTTGTTTTATCCAGTATTCTCCACTAAAGATATCGAAGCCATAATTCAGAAACATTGGTACATTGTTGACATTGATCCTATTTTGCAAATGATTTTCGCTAAACCACCTCAGGAGGTAAGAGACCTCCAAACTTACGTAATATGCTGGTCAGAGCTGATTTATGTTTCTCAGCCAACACATTTTTTGAGTAATATTCCTTCAGGTAACTAAAAGTGTGGAGGTTGTCAACAATGTAATTTTCTTACAAAACACATCTTTTAAGCATCCCTGTACAGGAAAATCTTTTAAGATCAGAGGAACAATTTCTTGTTAGACCTCTAATGTTATTTATATGCTGCGCTGCCCGTGTGGACTCTAAAAACTAGCAGACAACTCAAAATGCGGAACATCGAAGTGCCATTAGGCTGCACGACCCTAGAAGTCCAGTAGCACAACATTTTGTTAGATTTAACATTCGGTTTCCACACTACAATATATTGGCATAGAATAGGTTGACATCAATAATTTCCCTTCCCAACTAATTTTTTTTAAATTAATTAATTTCTTTTTTTGTCCCTTTAGGGATTCCTTAGCATCGTTAAAACGAAAGAACAAAAAGACATGACCATTGGTGATGTCTAACTACTCTTATGTACAAACCATTCAGATGTCATACACACCTCATTTGGAACCTGAAAAACACCAAAAAAAAATTATATTATTCAGTGTTCACATATAATTTATAATCACCACAAAAACAAATGTTAATTAAAGCTGCAAGCAGCGATGAAAGGGCCCTCGCACCCGGGCTCACCGCCACCCGGTGGCTTTTGGAAAAGAGCAAAGAGTGGGCAATATGCATTTAAAGTGGTAAATATAAGAGGAATATGTCAAAGTCATTTATATGCGCCAAACTTCCTGCTGCCAGCTGGTGGCGCTATGACTATAACTGTACAGCAACTTCCTGTTTCATGGCGAAACATCAAATTTTGTCAGGCTGCCAGGGACACGCCCCTTGATGAAAACTCAAAATCTTCGCAATTTAACGTCACAAAGGCCTTATGATGACCCTCACCAAATTTGAAGATGATCCGATTAAAACTGTAGGAGGAGTTCGTCAAAGTACGAGGCCTGGAAATGTCAAAAACTGCACAAAAATTGTACAGTAAATTCAGAATAACGTACATCCTGTTGGGTTTTGGATTTTGTACCAAGAGACTTTTTTGTAGGTAATGGTGTGTTACGCATGTGTGCCGATTTTCGTACATGTACGTAAAACATAGCTCGAGGGGCACTCCGTTGAAATTTTACAGGTGGCGCTATCGAGCCGTTTTGCCACACCCACTTCTGAAACCCATATCAGATGTAAATTTTCGCCAGTTCTGACGCGTGTGTAAAGTTTCATGAGTTTTGGAGAATGTTTAGGCCCTCAAAAATGCGATTCACTTTGGAGAAGAAGAAGAAGAAGAAGAAGAAGAATAAGAAACGGAGCAATTCCAATAGGGTCCTCACACCATCGGTGCTCGGGCCCTAATTAGTTGTAAAGTTGATAGGTATGTCAAAGGAAAAGTGTATTTAAAAAACAGTTGCATTCTGGATGTAAAATCACATTAATTTTCTCCACAGAATTTGTATTATTATTATTATTAACATTTCAAGACAGATTTACTATGAGCTCAGAGGCTATTAATCAATATTTCAACTTAATTTTAAGAAAAAATCTTTAGCCAAACTCCAGATGAAGAATTACACTAATCATGAATCCTCAAGAGAATTGCTTCAAATCAAAGTTTGAAATATTGTGATTCATCTTGGAGAATGTTGCTTTAGTTCATGACGCTTTTTTGGCTTTTTTTTTTTTTTTTGAATCCTTGGAGAAATTGGAGAAAATTAATGTGAAAAACATCTCTGTATTGTCTTTGTTTTCTCCGGACTTCATTTCCCACGATCCCTCACCCAGAAACCAATCACACATTCACACCTGTTGCCCATCAGTCACACTATAAAGGTTGCACTCATCCACACTCACATTGTTGATTATTGTATCGCCAGTATTGTCTTCTTGTTCTCTGTGTTCCTTGCCTTGCTTGTTTTTTGACCTTGGACTGTTTAACCTGTTTTTGATTGTCTGCTGCCTGCCCTGACCATTGCCTGATTATTGGATTACTCTTTAGTCTGTCCTGGATTATACCTGTTTGCCTTGTTTTTGACCCTGCCTGTTTTGACCACTCTTTAAATAAAGCTGCATTTGGATCCTCAACTCTGTTGCCACGCCTCCCATGTTATAATTACTGATTGTACATAACCATTTACCTTATAGATAGTGAAGCCAATGGTGTTCAGGTCTCGTCCAAACCGCTTGTCTTTACGACTCTCTTTCTGCATCAGACCCACTAGGATCGTGCAGCCGTCCTCTCCATCAAGAGGATCATCATCTTCTTCCTCCAGCTTGATCACAAACTGAGGGTTTGAGCAGAATGTTGCTGGAGAGGATGAACCAAACGGTCAGATGGTGGATCAAACAACAGTTTTTAGTTTCAAGCACATCGTGGTTGGTTTGATTTACCTGGGTTGTTCCTGCAGCCCCCTGCGGTGGATCCCACCCTCCAGTCGCCTTCTAACTTGTTGTAGTTCCAGCGGCTCACATCTTCGCTTGAAAGAGTGTCTGGAGTCAGATTACAGATCTCCAACTTCGAGAATTGCTGTATGAAGTCTGAATACGCCATCCTGACAGGACGAGGAAGATTTGTCAGTATTTGTCAACATATTTGTTACGTTATTGTTGAGGGTTACAAGCTCAAGTTCTCTTACCAGAACTCTCCATCTTCAGCTGAATGAACCAATTTAGCTTTCTCCTCTGGTTGGACGCTGTTCCACTCTTTGGAACTGAAAAAGACATTGGAAATATTTGACAGGACTCTCAGGACTGATGTTGAAAGAGTAAGATCTGTTTAGGGAAACTCACTTGTCACTCCAAGGGCCTGTCCACTCCACCTGACCCCATGGGTTCCTGATACGCACCAGCTGAACCAGACGGCCGTAGGAATGAACCTGTAGGTACAATAAGGTGACAGTCATTAGAGCTCTTTGGAGTTTTTCCTATAAAATCCATATTTTTGTGTCAGTGCTGGTTTCTGACCTCCTCTGCACCTGTGATGGAGTAGGCATGACCCTTCACCAGCTTCAGACTCGTCACCGCCTCCGACTCACGCGAACTGGTAATCTGCTCAATCATTATATTATATGATTAGTATAATAATATATGATTTTTTTTCTTTTTAACTTTTGACATTTGGACTTTTTTAATGATAAAAAGCATTAGAAGATCAGGAATGAACCTGTATTTCCTACATGACAGCAAAATAATTGTTTATTATTTTATTTTTGTTATATTATTTTATGTATTTTCATTAGGGATAATGCATATCAGCTGTTGTATTGGCCATTAAATGTTACTTTTTAATGTTATCAGTATCAATCCAATAAATAAAACAGGCCGATATATAGCTATTCTGCCCTGGCAATGGTGTTCTGAACCATGTGTTGACAGATAGCTAACAGAAATAAAGCTCCATCACGCTTTCTTCATTGTGCTTATGTGATGCACACTTTACTTTACTGTAAAACTTAAAGAAACGATCGTATCTACTCCAAGGATTAGACCGCAAACAATGACGTACATCCAAAACGCAGATCACAGAAAACGAATATCTTCTTCTACTGTTTAACGTGCTTCCTGTTGCGTTCTATTTAGTAGTGTAATAATATTTTTCACCACAAGGTGTCACACACGAACTACTTACACAAATCAAAATACAACTTCCAAAGAGAAATACTGCACAGAACAGAGTGTATTTATAGTGAATGTGTGATCGATGACAGCTGTGTGCAATCAGTGCTGTGTGCAATCAGTGAAATGGCTGATGGGATATGTAGTCCGGGATGACATGCAACAGTTTGTGTTGTGCGAGAGTCACTGTGATGGAAGGGTGACCTCTGGTGGTGATTGAACGGAAGTCCATGGACAGGATTCATGACACTCAATTAGCTCAGTGAATAATAAAAAAAAAACATAGACCCGGCTAGAACAAGCGGAGTGATACAAAATTGTGAAAGGGCGTTCCTGTAGCGATACCAGTACAATATCTCACGGTCCTCAACCAATCAGATTTGAGAACCAGAACGAACTGTTGTATATATATATATATATATATATTGTTTGTACACAATGTACAAACAAGAACGGACCAAGACTAAGGGAGAACTGAGGGCTTATAAACATGAACAAAACAAAGGGAACTAATGAGTAAATTAATCAGACAAGAGATGAACATGATAACTAATCGGACAACTCAGGAAAACCAGGTCACAAGGCAAGGAAGACAAAACTCAAAACACAATGAAACATGCAGACATGTAACAAGAACAGTAACCACTGTAGCACAAAATAAGATTACAACTCAGGGTTACAGCTGTCAGAAATTAGTAGAAAGTGACAAGGTCCTCGCTTTCAGTGACTTCAGGACATCTGCGGCCACAGGGCACTGCGCTGGTGTGATCTTGGTCCACTCTTCTTCCAGTCTCTTCCATAGTTGGGACTCTTAGCCGGCCATTTCATTATTTCTGTCATGGTTCTGAAGAGGGATGAGGCGAGGACTCAACTGCAGGACGATGGGCTTTTATTAATGGTAAAAATAAAATAAAAAGCAAACACAAAGTACCCCGAGGAGGAAAAACAGGCAGGCAGGCAGGCCAGGCACAAGGCACCACACAGCAAGGCAAGGCAGGATCAGCAACGCAGATAAATAACACATACCACAAAACATCTGACATATAAACAATGGACCAGCACAGGACTGCAGACACAAGGAGAATAAATAGGGAGACAAATGAGGAGGGTAACGAGGGAGACACAGGTGGAGCAACTGAAACAATGAGGTGAACTGAACAACTGAAACAATAACATGATGGGCAACTGAAACAATAATGAGGTGAACTGAACAACTGAAACAATAACATGATGGGCAGGGACAGACAATAGACAGAAGAACACATGGCACCAACAAACACACAACAAGCCATGTGCTCAACAAAAGACACAGTGACCTCTGGTGGCCATCTAAGGCACACCAGCTGAATACCGTGACAATTTCAATGTTCTTAGCTTCAATATACTGCTTTACCCATTTTGCAGTATGACTGGGACATTGCCCTGCATGAAAATTGCAGGCTGATTGGGAGATGCTTGCAGGGAAGTAACTGCATGTTGCTGAAGGAGGTTCTGATAAACATTTGCATTTACCCTGCCATGTAGCTGCATAACTTCAAATAGGACTAAGCAGTGACCTTAAAATTTAGGAAATTGTAGTTTGTTCCCTAATTTTGATTTCCACTGTATATACTGAGAAATTATAGCCAAATTTGTCCTATGTGTTATTAAAACAAGATTCAGTTTAACTTCACTTTCATTCAGCAAGGATGCGTTACATTTATTTTAAAGTGACCGAAAAGACATTTATAATCTTAAAAAAGATTTCTAATAAATGCTGTTCTTTTAAGCTTTCTATTTATGAAAAACACAAAAAAAAAAAAAAAAAAAAAATTTTTATTAAATGCAACTTTTTTCTTGCCTTGGAGAAATATAAGCTCAAAATGATGCGAAAAGAAAGCCAATAGAAGTGGAATGGGACTCACATCAATGGAGCTGCCAAGTAATGATCCCAGCGTCAGTGCTTTCTGCATGAGCTTAAACAGGTACGGAGGAGCTTTGTTCAGCTCATAGTTCTCAGCGATGCCTCCTGTGAAATCCTCAAAACCCTCAGTGGACCAACCTCCCGACAGAGCTTCATATGAGCCATTTAACCTTCAAAATACAGTAGAAATCAGCGCCACTGGTTGGTATATCATGGATATGTGACATGTTATAGGAACATTGTGTGTTTTGTGGTTTGGCACAGTGTTTTCCAACAGTTTCAGATGACTCAGTATCTTATTGTTCAGAAATATAGTTCAGGTAAAGTAGTAGCAGGTCATTTGTGAATAAACACACACTTACTTTGCATAGGCCTTTTCCATCAGAGCACTCCAGAACTCAGAGCCCTCGGCTGAATGAACAAACAGCAGCTTCCCATCTCTGGTAGGCAGCCGGTCATCAATGACAACATCCATCCATTGACCGTACGTACAGAACTGAAGAGACGAGAACAACACCAATCAGTCTGACAGTATCCCTTTAATTTATTATTAGTAAGAAATGTCTCTTTAGCAGCAAATATTCATATTAGAATGATTTCTGAAGGATCATATGACATGGAAGACTGGAGTAATGATGCTGAAAATTCAGCTTTGATCACAGAAATAAATCACATTTAAAAATATATTCAAATATAAAACAGTTATTTTAAATCTGTCATGTCCCAGCCTGTGTTCCCCTGTTTTGCACTCTTATTTTGACATTTATTTCCCCATTGTTTCTGTGCTCTCTTCCTGTGTTCTGTGTCCCTATTTGTCTTTGCAATTTCTTTAAAAGAAAATATCTCCCTTTGCATTAAACTTTGAGCATTGTAACTTTGCAGACGTTGTTTATGCTCTAACAGCAATATTACACGCTAAAGTTAAAAAGTGAAATCATAATCAACCACCCCATTAACAAGACCACAGATCCACTAAAAATATTTATCTAAAGACTTACTAAGGCCCAATCCCAATTCTACCCCTTAGCCCTTCCCCTTTGCCCTACCCCTCCGTTTCGCGCGTTCACGTGAAGGGGTAGGGGTGTCTCAATTCTCTTTTGGTTGGAGGGGTAGGGGAAGGGCCAGACAGCCCTTCAAACTAAGATTTTTCGGGACCACACTTTAAACGAAGGGGTATGAATTATCTCAGCGTAAACCGGCTTCAGCGGCAACATGGCTGCCCGAGCGAACAAAAAGACACATAAATGTAAGCATTTTTGGCATTAATAAAGATTTTAACGAAAAGTAATCATTTGTTTTATGTTACATTCAATCGTGAGTTCATATTTATGGTCATGTTACTCAAAGAAATGTTTGCAAAAAATCGCTAAAGTTTACTAACGTCATATCATTACAGACTGCACGATAGTGCCACAACATATTTTCATGTCTGATCAGGGCGATAACCACAACATATTTTCATGTCTGATCAGGGCGATAACCACCGTAGACATTGAGGGGGGCTAGTCCCCCCAATAATTAGAAATCACTAAACCCTTTTCTCAAATATTGCCAATGCGAGAGAGAGATGAAAGTTGCGTGTATGCGCATGTGCGTTTCTTGCACACCAGTATAGGTGTGTGTATTGTAGGAGCTAGACGACGTATGATGACGTGTGACGTATAGTAGTGGTGTCCCAATTCTTAGGGGAATATTTTCACCCCTACCCCTTGACACTCTGTTTCAAGGGACAAGGGGAAGGGGTAGGCGGAGGGGTAGGGGAAGGGGAAGGGGTATAAAATAGAATTGGGATTGGGCCTAAGTATTTAAATGCAACTTTTTTCTTGCCTTGGAGAAATATAAGCTCAAAATGATGCGAAAAGAAAGCCAATAGAAGTGGAATGGGACTCACATCAATGGAGCTGCCAAGTAATGATCCCAGCGTCAGTGCTTTCTGCATGAGCTTAAACAGGTACGGAGGAGCTTTGTTCAGCTCATAGTTCTCAGCGATGCCTCCTGTGAAATCCTCAAAACCCTCAGTGGACCAACCTCCCGACAGAGCTTCATATGAGCCATTTAACCTTCAAAATACAGTAGAAATCAGCGCCACTGGTTGGTATATCATGGATATGTGACATGTTATAGGAACATTGTGTGTTTTGTGGTTTGGCACAGTGTTTTCCAACAGTTTCAGATGACTCAGTATCTTATTGTTCAGAAATATAGTTCAGGTAAAGTAGTAGCAGGTCATTTGTGAATAAACACACACTTACTTTGCATAGGCCTTTTCCATCAGAGCACTCCAGAACTCAGAGCCCTCGGCTGAATGAACAAACAGCAGCTTCCCATCTCTGGTAGGCAGCCGGTCATCAATGACAACATCCATCCATTGACCGTACTGCCAGAACTGAAGAGACGAGAACAACACCAATCAGTCTGACAGTATCCCTTTAATTTATTATTTGAATAATAAGGTTATAAATACTCAAACGAGGTCCACAAGTCTGAGAGCACTAGTGAAAATAATCAATTTAGCATTTTTTCTAATGTTATATGGTTTTTTAATTATACATTTTATTAACTAACAATTTGAGTTAAATTTTGATTTAAATTAAATTATTTAGATTTAAGTTTTTTTTTTTTAAATCCTAAAACATTGTCACTTTTCTTTCAAGCTTAAATTAGATTTTCAATCCCAGATCGTCAATGTGGTCTCAGACTTTTTGATCCCACTGTATGTTTATACCTGAAAGTGAAAAATGCCAGCATAGTTCTCTGTAAAACTCTGTCCATGTGGAACTACACGTTTCAGAATCTCTTTTTCCAGAGTCAAAGATGTAATAGCCGCCAGCAACCAACAGTCACCTGCAAATGTATCAAATGTCATTAGATTCTTCTGCGTTAAGCTCATTATTTTATGCAAATTGACTTCCAGTGCACTTATGACAGTTACGGTCTTCCAGGATCAACCTGGGCTTCAGTGTTCAGCTCAAGGAGCATCCTGGACCTGAGCGTATGTTTCTTGCTCAGTGGTGATGGTTGGGGGCAATTGTGGTCTAATGGTTAAAGAGTTGGACTTGTAACCCAAAGGTCGTGGGTTCCAGTCTCAGTAACAGCAGGGATTGTAGGTGGGGGAAGTGAAAATGCCGCAGTTGTCCAAGACTCTCAAGTAGATGCTATAGAAAAAGCGACAGAACAGAGAATACCAGGTGCAAGAAACAAGAGCAGTAAGAAACTAGTAATACGAAACTGATGCGGAAAGTGCCATGAGCCACGCCAAAACCCAGCCTTTGGAGCAGTATGTCATAAGTGCTGCAAAAGTAACCACTTTTCCAGGGCAGTCATTCGCAACAATAGCAGAGCAAAGACAGTGCATAGCATAAAGAGTGAAACAGATTCCATGTACATTGGCACATTAATACACACTCAAGTGCATGTGATGGAACACATAAAAGACAGTGTGTGGTACACAACAGCCACCATCCGAGGCGTAGAAATAAGATCCCTGGTCCAGTTAAGCCACAGACTACATCAATGGTGTTAGAAGCATTCGGGGAAACATGCTCCACACTAAAAGGCGTTGTGTCACTGAAATGCAAGACCGACAAAACCACAGCCACATTACAGTTCTATGTATTCGATCAATCAGACATGCCTATCCTGGGCAGAGCAGCATGTGTGAAAAGGATTGAGCTGCTTGCAAAAAAGTCTGTGTCAACCAAAGAAGAGCTGGTCAAGGTGTATCCATCAGTCTTCACTGGGCTAGGTGATACATGTTGACCCGACAGTCACACCTGTGATCCATGGATGCAGAAATATTCCACTGTCTGTTCACGACAAGCTGAAAGAAACACTTCAAGATCTTGAGAAGTATTATTTCCCCTATAACTGAGCCCACAGAGTGGGTAAACAGCCTCGTTATCACAGAAAAGAAGAATGGTACACTGAGTGTATGCTTGGACCCTTGTGACCTGAACAAAGCTATAAAACGCCAGCGCTATTCCATTCCCACTCCTGAAGATGTGTGTAGTAACCTGGCTGGAAAGTCTATCTTCACCATTCTCGATGAGAAAGATGGTTACTGGCAGAATAAGTTGGATAAACCGTCCTCAAAACTATGCACTTTCAACTCACCATGGGGCAGATATAATTTTCTGAGACTCCCATTCGGCATCAAGTCAGCAAGTGAGGTGTTTCAGCAGAAAAACTCTGAGACTTTTGGTGACATACAAGGAGTACACAACATTGCTGATGACATGATCATTGCTGCCTCATCAGAGCAGGAGCATGATGAAATCCTTGATAAGGTCGTGGAGAGAGCAAGAGCGGCCAAGGTGAGATTTAATGGTGATAAGATCCAGTTCAAGGTTTATACTGTGAAATACATGGAACACCTCATTACACCAGATGGCCTGCGACCTGACGAGGCAAAAGTGAATGTGATCACAGACATGCCACCCCCAGAGGATAAACAAGGCCTGCAATGTCTACTCGGCATGACTAAGTACTTAGCGCAGTGCATTCTGAATGAAGCTTTACTCACAGCACCTCTAAGACAATTGCTGAGGAAGGATGCTGTATGGCAGTGGAACTCACTGACACTGAGCAAAGATATGCTCAAATAGAGAAAGAGTTACTCACCATACTCTTTGCCCCTTGAGAACATCATGCAGAAACAGCTGTGCAAGGCCCCTACAACTACAAAAGTATGACATGAACATTGCATATATACCAGACAAGCACATGCATATAGCTGATGCACTCTCTATCGTAAGTAGAGAGGTTGATGATGGCGGAGACTTCTATGATGAGAAAGTTGCAAGATCTGTGTGAAAAGGTAGAGACTGGCTGGCCACAGAAAAGATGAAGCGTGAACAGTAACCTACACAGCTACTGGCCTATGCAACATAAAATCAGCATCAGTTCTGCATGCTGATTTTATGTCGCATAGGCCAGTAGCTGTCAGTGTTGGGCAGTAACGCATTACTTAGTAACGTGTTACTGTAATTTGATTACTTTTTTAGTAACGGAGTAATTTAACGCGTTATAATGTTAAAAATAGTAATTAGAGTATAGTTACAAGCCGAGGTCTCTATACGTTACTGCCGCGTTACATTGCTGACAGAATGCAGTGTTTTATAATCTAGAGACCTAAAAAGGATGTAGCACAGGCACTGTCGAGTCAAGTGCCAGTGGATTAGAGACCTGCTCTCCCGCAAGACCAGACGCAACAGAGTGCGGCGCGGGACAAGATGGGCGAGG